AGACCAAAAACACGAAACAACGATTACTGTCTACATCACCATTCAACAATAGCGGATAACTCCTTTGTTAGCGACGTTGTGCCCCAAGTCAACATGGATTTTTACCTCCCTCCGGCTATTTTATGTTTGTTGACTCTTGAAGTCAACTTTATGCAGTAAATGTTGCTCGATGGCCTTCGTCTGATGTTCTACAATCAGAAATTCTCAGAACCAGGGCGAGTGCTCCACACAAAATATATTCAGCCGGTCGTCCCAGGGACGCCGTTCAACTCTGTACAACGGCGTTCTAAGGTTATACAATCACTACGGTTCGGTACAAGGCACAATAAGAAACGTCGGTTGCGCAACAACACTGAGAATAGCAGAACCCATGATTAGATGATTACTCATAACTGATACAGATATGATATCCAGTTTTCTTATTACGATGCAGTCTGACAGCTTCATCACTTTTTCAAAAAAAATGCAGATAAAATAAAATATGGGCAAACAGAACAGCTTGCCAACCTAATCGGATGAAACGTAACTTCAGAAGTTTGCGGATAACCCGTTTTTGTTGCAACAATCAACCAGTCAACGGAGAAAAGGTTTAATAAGCAAAAACAATTATATTTACAACAACCCTTTTATGCGAAAAACTTAGGTGCGAAAGTCACACAGGAAACAAACTATTCAGTCGTAGTCCAAGAATTGCTTGTGATAGAACAGCATGTAACCCTCGCTGTTCAGCACCTCGTCAATAGACGCCCGAGTGATGACGTGATCATCGCACCTGAACCACTGGTCATTCAGCTGTCGGATGAAACATGTGTAGTGACCGCTTTCGATTGTCCCATGATGATTGACAACCGCATATAAGGCATACCTTAAAATGCACTGGGTCAACAACGGAACCGTTTGCGCTTACTGACTTGTTCTTCAACGTGTTCAAAATTTCGGACGTAGATGTGATGCAAGTAGACGGTCGAGTTCTGTTACGAAAATGAGAGGTAAACGGTGTCATGTCCAAGAACTGAGGAAACGTGATGGCGCTGGAGATTTTCTTGTGTAGTTTGTTGTGATGCTCGAAACGCTGGTATAAACGACAGTTGAGACAAACGAAGCATTAAATACTAAAATGGTGAGGTAAGCGCCTCACCTTCAGGTGAAAACAAGCGACGATCGGTAACTTGTTGAAAGTCAGCTGCTTTGTCGATTCTTCGTACCGGTCGCACCGAGTACACTTGATTTTCGCCATGCTGCCAAGGTATTCAGCAAACGTGAACCTGTGCAGACAATCCTGCAACGTAGTCGGCAGAGGAAACATCGAGCCATTCAAAGCTGAAGAAGACAAACAAACGAACTGAAACGAAAGAACTCATTTTCTGCCATGCACGCCATTTTAAGCTGATAAGGCAATTCTACCATTTCGTCTTGTGAATCAACACCCTATACTGTATTTTCTTCTCAGTCAGTACTATGTGCATATCGTAAGTATGTTTCACAATGATTTATTTGAACAAGACTAAAATTCACATGTCAAGACACCATGCATGGCATGATGAGTTGAAAAAATCCGCTGGATCAGGTTGAATAAACTAGAGAAAAAAGAAGTTTATGATAAAACCCTGGAAAAGCCTCATCCAGCTGCAGTCGAAAAAGGCTGATAATCATGACTTAGCGTAACCATCTATCACTACCTTTAACTCGCAACACGGTGCTCGCACCGTCCCCTTGCTTATACTAACTTATGAGACCGTTTAAACAGGCCAAAGCTCCATAGTATTTTAGCAACTGCCTTGCATGGGATTATGGGATTAAAGAATTAGCATGGGATTAGTACCACTTTGTTCGCA